ATAAATAAATAAATAAATAAATAAATAAATATTATCTATCTCAAAGCATTTTTGAAATTTTTCAAAATTAATCATTAAAAAAACACCAATTAGTACACTAAAGTAAAGCTAAGAAAAATTTCCCAAAAGACAAGTATCAGTGTCATTTTCCCATTTCAACTTTTTAAATTTGGAATGAGTAATTTAACTAAGTATTAATTATGAGTTATATGCCTACAACCCTTCCTGGGGTTCACATAACACTTTTATTTACAAATCATGTCCCATCTCTCCTCTCCTGGAAACTTGAATCTGGTGTAAGGCAGACATACACTAAATGCCCATGCTCACTGAATAATACTAGGTCTCATTAACATAATGACTACTACTAATAGTTACTAACATTTATTTAACACTATGTACCCGACACGGCACTAATCACTTTACATGCATGACTGCACTACAGGGCAAGCTAATCTAATTAATTAATAGTTAACTTAATTCTATAGATAAAATCTATAGCATAAAGAGGTTAAGTTTCAAAGCTAGGTAAGAAGTCCAGTCTCATAGTTAGTAAACAAACTGAGGCAGCCTACAGTGTACCAGGGACCCATCCATTCTAAATCACAAATCCAGAAAGAGGAGAGAAGACAATAAATAAGTACACAAGTGAACAATGTAATTTTAGATAGTAAATAGGTTCTGGAAAAAAACACAGGATGATTTGACCAAAGTAACTAGGCAATGTTGAGAAATGTTTAAGAACATGGACTCTACCACCAAGTTTGAAGTCCAGCTCTATTATTATGGGCTGTTATTTAGTTATTTAGCTTCTTCCTGTGTTACCTTGTCTATAAAAAATAACACCTAATTCATATAACAGTTATGAGGTTTAAATGAGTTTATAGATAAAATGCCTAAAACAGTGTATGAAGCATAGTGTTAAGTATTTGCTTAAATACTTATTGCTTCTTAATATTAAAGATATTAAATTCAAGACATTAAATATTTATAATAATTATAAATTAAATTTAATATTGAAAACATTATGAAAATTATTTAAACATTTGCTTAAATACTATTGCTTATTAATATTATTACTATTGCTCTTTTTGCATCATTGTTATTATAATTATCATTATATTGAAGGAACCTGGGAAAGTGTCTATGAGGAAGTACATCTGAGTCAAAACCCAAGTGACACTCAGTTACATAAAAATTTGAACACAGAGATTCTAGGCAGCAAGAACCAAAGTACAAAAGCCCCAGGGCCAGAATGCCTAGCAAAGACAGCCCATGTGGGCCAGGATAGGTTTGCAAAAGGTTAGGTTACAGAGCTAGTTAGGAGCGAGGTTACAATGAACTTCATTGGCCACAGTAAGGAGTTGGACTTTATTCTAAGTTCAGTGAGAAGCCATCTAGCATCTTAAGCACAATAATGACAGGCTTTGATTTACATTTTGTAAATATCACTCTGGTTGCCATGGAAAGATTGAAGAATAGCTTCCACAGAATATCAATCTCACCATTTCCATTAATCATTATATTTTAAAATCTTAGTTGTTTTCCTAGGGGAAAATAATTCTCTGGCTAAATTGTTGAAATAATTTTAGACTTCTTAAAGTGTTCTTAAAAGCACAGCCAGTGTAAAGGACTTAAATAAGAATATGTGTATTCTTTCATATAGTTATACACACATTCATTTTGAACATAATTACATGAAATACACACATGAACAATAATTTATGATTCTAAAAGTCATATTAATTATATATACAGAGTTTTAAAATAATACCTCTTTGAAGAAAAGTAGTTGAATAGTTCACTTACTTTAAATTAGATATAAACAGAAGATATCCTTTAGGCCCCACTTCTCATATTTCTGTCCACCAGTCATTAGCTCCTAGCCCCCGAAGAAGGGAAGCATTGCAAATCTGATTGGATGGAACCAGGTATGTTTGACTACTGGGTGTGGTTCCTTTCCTAATCTTCCCTTTACCCCTAGGCTTATTTCTTCACACCCCTCTTCTCTAAGTTCACTTTGATTTGCATAGATTGATAGCCCACTTAGACCACACTGTTCAATTTAATCTTCCCAGATAACCTTGAGCCAAAGTCTCTAGCTTCAGAGCTAGATGGCATATATTGATGAGTTGCTACCACTACGTGGAGAGGGGTAAATAGTAGTATTTACCCCTATTATTTTATCATAATATCATTATAACATCATCTTTAATATCTAATGCCTAGAAGGCCATTAATGTATTCAGAAAGAATATTATACCCACACTCTGACAAAAATCATAAAGCCCTACATTGCCTCACATGTAGGTGATCAAAGAACCCAGCACAATTTGTACAAAGGATTCCTCTTAATGAATCTAACTCATAAAGGCTTTAGTTTTAAAAGTTGAGAAATATAGCTGCATAAAGTGAACTGCTTTACCTGGATGGCCAGTTCCTTCATTCTTGACCTCTGCGGTTCCCACAGAAGAGGTGAGTGGACTAACAGGAGGGCTGGAAGGGAAGCTTGTACACCCTGTAGACGTGTTGATTTCGAAATATTCTTGGTTATGATTCATCCGATGAAAATCCAGAGAAGACACAATAGAGGTTCGTTGTTTAGGCTAAAATAAATGAGCATGATGACAGCATTAATATTATCATGTTCATCTTTAGCCCCATCTCCCCATCAGTTTAATCTAAGTGATGATTTTTTTTCAGTTAAACTGTCTGGATTTATACTTAAAATATAACTGTGCTTTATAGAAGGACACTAAATAATCCCTTAATAAATTAAATAATGAAAAATATTTAATGAAAAACTACAATGGCATAGTTGATTAAATCATTTAGACTCTTTGTTAGGTTTCTCCAGAAGTATGTAAAAATGTAGTGTGCAGAATTTCTCTTAATGATCAATTTGGAAAGTTGCAATTATAAGTCACCTTTCAATCAACTAACATTTATGAAACATCTGGCATTTGCCAGACCCTGAGGATATAGAATCTAACAATAAAAGGGATCTCATGACATTGAAACATTATTAGGGCAATTCTATTTTTTTTAATTCTTTATATAGACCAAGGAACGGTGGCATTAGATATTGTCCCCAAGTACCATATGCTGAAATTCTATCATTGGAATTAATTGAAGTGATATAGGGCATTTTCCAGGATCCAGGAATCTGCTTGGTATTTGTGGTAAACTTTGATTTTATTTTTTAAGGGTTTTAATTAATCCCCAAATAGCAAGAAAAGTCAATTTAAAATAAAAGTTAAAATCATGGAGTAATGACACCTATAATCTATACTGTTTGTCAGTAATGGATTGTTCCCAATAGCAGTTTTCTATTTTTTTCCCATAGTTTTAACTATGTTCACTCTTTTTCCCTGCCAGCAGAGCTTCTAACGTAGTCCTTCAAAAAAAAGATTGCAGTCTTTTTGGCTCTCAGAATTGTGTGCATTTCCCAAGAATCAATTCAAGTATTTCTACTTTTTATTCTTCTCATTCATATTACTGAAATAGTAATGATCTCACAATAATTAACAAGAGGTTAACTTCAATCTCTTTACAATAAGTTTATTTCCCCAAAGTTACTTTTGGTTTGCCAATGTTTCCATTGCCCTCAAATACCTATTAATTTAATCACTATACTTCAAAGATTGTTTTCTTGCATAATATTTCAGCTACCCTGTCTCTTCCAGATCATGGTTTTTAAAGTAGATATCATTTAGTCTATAATCTAAAATAAATGATACTGAAAATACCTGTTTTACAGGTTATTTTTTTTTACATAAAGGGTACAAATGATCACATTATGATTTATTCTTTCACCATTGCAATATTTTAATGAAAGAGGTTGAGAGGCATAAATATTGTTATACAAGAAACTGCAAGTCATTTATTATTATGCCACATCAACTCAGTAATGGAATTCAAATGAGTACCCACAGGACTCAGATGCTTTTGAAGTATGAAAGACCAGGGTTCAATGTCAGTCATGGTTTCTCGTGAAATGTCTGTCCTTGAAGCTGCTGAATCTCAGTTTCACATTCAATGTTCTTTCCTCTAGACTGTATAACAGCAATTAAATGTCATGAACTACGGGCGGCTCTCAATGGAGCAGCCCACACCTTTCCCCCAACGCACATTTTCCTGCCTTTCTCTTTCTCCTAAGCTCTGAGCCCATTTCTTCCACAGCTCACTTTTTCTACCTCTGTGACTTTCTAAATAAACTTTCTCTTACAGAAAACAAAGTCATGAACTATGACACTAGCTGCAATAAAAACACAGCCATGCCCATTATCTTGGTCTTATTTTACTGTGCTGTGTTGTGTTTCTGTTTCACTTTGTAAACAGGCCATAAACCAAATTTTTATAATTTTCCTTGTCATAAACTTTCTAAAGGTCAAGCTAACTGATGTATCGGACTTCTTTATGTTTAAATGTTTCTTAAATAAATGTTTTTTAACCCGGACCACCCAAAGTTCTATTTACATACAAACACAATTTGTTATGCATAAAAGAATAAAAGCAAACAGGCTATATTTTTTTGCTACATGAATTCATTCTACAGATATCTGCTGAGTGACTAAATTGCAGATGCCATGGTAAGCACTGTGACAGGAACAGATAAGAAAGACATTGTCTCTACGGTCCAGGTGATGATAAACTTTTGTTGAAGAAGGAATGGTGCATGAGGGAAGAGACAAGCCACCCAAGAATTATGCTTCAGTATAATATAGTAGAGTGAAAAGGACTATGGTAAGTGGAGGAACAGAATATAAAGGGAGCCCAAAGGTGGGTCTCTAATTTAGGGAGGGAATCAGGAAAGGCCTCCATGAGCAGGTGATTGGTGGCTGAGTTGAATTCTGATGAAGCAGAGGTGGGAAGCATGTGGTGGGCAGACAAAAGAGGCTGGGGAGAAGGGAAATACAAACTATAAATAGTCGGGGTGGCTATAGTGCAGAGTACGTGAAGGTAGTGGTGGGTTCAAGACATGGGATATTGTAAGTTGCAGGGGCCAAATCATAAAGGGCTCTAAATGCCATGCCAATGAGTTTGATCTTTAATGTGAACATTTTAAAAAAAAACACTGAATGATTTTCAAACAAGGTTTTGATAGCCGAGTTTGCATTTTAATAAACTTACTTTAGCAATTTAGAGAGTAGATTGGTCGGGGTTGGACTTGAGGAAGGAAAACTAATTAGGAGGATGCTATAGAATTCCAGCCATGACATAACGAGATCCTAAGTAAAGCAATGGCAACAGGGTTAGAGATAGCAGATGTTTTTAGGAGATGCTAATGAGGTTAGCTTTTTAGTCTTGACATCTGATTGTATGGGAAGATTGATTTTTAAGGGAGGAGTCTAGGGTGACTCACAGATTTCTCGCTTGGGTAAATACCAGAAGATAAGTTCTTTAATGGGAAACACAAATGTATATATTCCTACACAGAAACAAGAAAGCTGTATGCTTGTGTGCTCTCAGGACTCAGTGTAGACTGTCTAATGCATGGTCATGCAAATCTACATTTTACTTTCCCTTTTCCCTTTCTTTCTTTGAGCAGAGTGCTATGATCTCACTGTAGCATAACTTCAAATAAGATATCTGGAGAAAGGGAGATAAGCTAATAGAAATTTGAAGGTAAGGAACCATTGATCAGTGATCAGCTGACCCCATTCTTATTTACCTCTTCAGAACTGTCCATCAGCTATTACCCAGTTTGAAGAACAAAGAGTGGAGAGTTATTGCCCAAAGCTCTTTGAGCATCTGAGGTAATAAAAAGGAAGAATCATATGGATCAGCAAACTACGGCCTCTGGCCCACATCTGGTCTGCCTCATGTTGCTGAAAATAAAGTTTTACTGGAACATATCTATGCCCATTCATTTACTTTAAGTTTAGACAGAAGCCACATTATCCACAACACCTGAAATATTTACTGCCTGGTCCTATAGAGAAAACATTGGCCAACCCCTGTTCTAAGAGACCATTTTAGTGCTCAACAAAACTATAAACATAGGTTCCTTGTTATTTCCAAGCCTTATGTGCATTTAGGTTGGTGACAGGTAACTAATTCTGACCAATAGACTGTCTGTAGAAGTGAGCCTTCTTCAACCCTCTCTTACTCTGCAGATGATGTAGTTCCAAGATGAAGGAGGGTCATTCAATCCACATTGGACCTTCTAAGAAGTTGAGGTAAAACCTCCTTTATGTTAAACCACTGAGATTCTGGGTTGGTCTGTCATGTCAGCGAGCACTACTTAGCCTAACTAGCACAGAATCAGTGGATCAGAGAGGTTAAATTATTTACTCAAGATCACATAAGTAGCAAGCAGAAGGGCTTCAAAGAAAAGGAAAGGCCATGTGTTCACATCTAGACATAAGCAAATGGTGCCTCAAAACACAAAACACAATGGCAGGATTAAAGAAATATCTGTGTGGAGAAATGAAATAATAGTAATGGGAGAAAGAACAAAGAGATAGTAGCATTATTAAAAATGGAGATGGGCCTGGAATACTTGCTTTGATTTTAATACATTCACTTTTAAAAAAAAAAAGCTATCCTGATGGAATCCTGCCAAGCTATTCAGTATAAGAAAGAAAAGTGTTTTCACAAAAACGTTAAAATTACAAATGGAATTTGCCAAGTTTCAATTTGTAAAATGAGTTGCACTTGTGTTCATTGTGACTCCTCCTTTAAAACATCTCCCTCCCTTGCCTGTGGTCCAGCGCTCATCTCTCCCTACTTTCCCAAGGACTTGCTCCCACACATATTTACTTAACCAGAATCAGCAAACTACAGATCTGACTATTTTTTAATGATTGGGGGGAGGGGCAAAGGAAAAATAATATTAATGGCAGGTGAAAATTACATGAAATTCAAATTTCAGTGTCCATAAATAATGTTTTATTGGAACATGTACATGCCCATTCATTATATCTGGTCTATGGCTGCTTTCATACTATCACAGCAGAGCTGAGCAGTTACAGCAGAGGCTCTATGACCCACAAAGCCTGAACTACTTTATTCTCTGGTCCTTTACAGAAAAAGTGGGTCACCCCTGTATAGGGTTATTAGGAAATGTCTCTGAGGAGCTGAAATTGAACAGATACACGAATGACTGTGAAAGAGTAGGGACCAGCTCCATAGAGTTGTTGGAACCAGGGCAACGTGAAGATGTGGGGCCCCTTGTTCCAAAAGCAGATATAAAACCAAGCTTTCCTTTCTTCCATGGTCTCTTTCTAGATCTGTCATGTGGTCTTAGTTGCTACTTAATGTCGCATTCCCTTGGGCACTGGGACACTCACAGGACGAGAGCAGACTCTCACAGGCGCCCACAGGCTCTGTGCTGCAACTTAGCGTGTGCACCTCATCGCTATCCTCCCCATGTTCAGGGTCTCACTGCTAAGAACACGCCCGATAAGGTGGGGAGATGGTGGGAGGTGAACCACAGATGAGCCAAGGTTCCCAGCCCCAGCACAGGCTCCATGTTCACACAGACTTCGCTTAGAAAACAAATTCAGAGGTAAAAATCATTCAGAAATTTAGACAGTTGACCAGGAGCATTAAACCCCAAGCATGAGGCCCTTCTGAGAGTGATGCCCATTGGGACTGCACT